CGGGCAGCTGCAGCAGCCGTAGAGAGGGGCGGCTGCGGTTTAGGGTTTAGGGTTTAGGGTTTAGGGTTTAGGGTTTGCGTGCAGATTGAAAGGGCCATTTGGAGAAGCACTACTTTCTGCGGGGCCATTTATTTTCTTTTCGGCCTTTTGCTCGCAGCGGCTTACCCTGCTGTCTCGTCCGACAACATTCTGCAGGTAGACAAACCCTAAACCCTAAACCCTAAACCCTCGCCAGCGGTGCCCAGCCCTGAACTCTCGGCAAACCCTAAACCCTAATCGCGGTTCCCTGATTAGCTCAGCTGGCTGGCCGGGGACTTCCTTGAAAGCACAGCTTCTTCAGTAGACAAGGCCAAGGGTTTAGGGTTTAGGGTTTTGGGTTTAGGGTTTGGGATTGCGGTTTGCAGGAGATGTTGGCTTCAAGCGGCACGCCTGTATTTGCGCAGCTGGCCATCTTTGCTTTTGACCTTTTCACTATTCTTCCCGGTACGGACTTAAGCCTAGGGTTAGGGTTTAGGGTTTAGGGTTTAGGGTTTAGGGTTTGGGGTTCCCTCAGCAGAATCTCTGTTTGTGTTATTTTCCGACACACCCGTCGCGGCCTTTGCAGCGGGAGCTCCGAGCAGCAGCAGCTGCGCCGCGGGGTGCAGGGCCTGGGGCCGAGGGTTTAGGGTTTAGGGTTTAGGGTTTAGGGTTTAGGGTTTGCTGCAGGCATCTTGGTGTACTGCATAGCCACGCGCTACAACCTCGTCAACAGCGGAGTCTGCAGCAAACGCTGGGCCTTCTGGATTGGCGCAGTGGCGCCTTTTTTGGGGTCCTGGACCCTCATGAATGCCCAGTCCACTGCAGGTAGGGTTTAGGGTTTAGGGTTTAGGGTTTAGGGTTTAGGGTTTGGGGTTTAGGAGCGTGCAGGGCTTCGCGCGCGGCGGCCCCGCCTTGCGATTCACGAGACGCCAAAGGGGGCGTTTTGCTGCGGGCTGATTAGGGTTTAAGGTCTAGGGTTTAGGGTTAGGGTTTAGGGTTTAGGGTTTAGGGTTTAGGGTTTGTGGTGCAGGCGTGTTGAATTGGACTTCTCTGTTTTTTTCTTTGGTTTGCAACTTTGTTGCGCCGTTTGCTATTTACCTCCGAGCCTGCGAGAAGCTCCCGAGCGAGACTTCTAGTAAACCCTAAACCCTAAACCCTTGCGGGCAGCAGCAGCATAAACCCTAAACCCTAGCCCCTAGACTCTGCGCCCTAAACCCTTGTAGGCAGTAGCAGCATAAGGAGCGCATGCACTGGCCCTCCTGCAGTTCGCTAACTGCTGCTGTTGCTGCAGCTGCTGCTTTTGCTGCTGCTGCTGCTGCTGCTTTGCTTGGCTGCAGGGGAAAAGAAGGTCGTCTTGTTCAGCCCCAACCTTCGCCACAACGTGCAGGGGGTGAGGGTTTAGGGTTTAGGGTTTAGGGTTTAGGGTTTAGGGTTTAGGGTTCAAGATGTGGCTGTTCGTTTTTCAAAGCAAAACGACTTCACAGCTGTTTGATTGGCCGGTGCCCAGCGCGCACCGCATCCCCTAACGTTTAGGGTATAGGGTTTAGGGTTTAGGGTTTAGGGTTTAGAGTTTAGGGTTTAGGGTTTGAACGCAGGAGCTGCGGGACCCCGACGCAATTCGGCTTTCGCTGCTGCAGTGGCTGCAAGCCACTTTTAAAGACGAGAGCCGCGCGAGGGAAGCAGATCCGCAGCTGCTGCACTTGCTGCTGCAGCCGTCAGCAGCAGCAGCAGCAGCAGCAGCAGCAGCAGAGCAGCAAAGCACTGGAGTGCCCACGCTCGCTGACCAGCGGCGAATGCTCACGCAGCAAGAAGCAGCCACCACTGCCATTGCTGCTGCTGCGCTGCAGCTGCAGGAACCAGGACTCAGCAAGAGTCAGCTGCTGCTGCTGCTGCTGCTGCTGTTCTTGCTGCTGCTGCTCTTGCTGCTGCTGCTCTTGCTGCTGCTGCTACTACTGGTGGAGCACGAAGGGCAGCGACGCCCGCAGTCAAACACTTGTGGACGGTTCTTTGGTGCTGCTGCTCTTGCTGCTGCTGTTGCTCTTGTTCTGGCTCCGGCCAGCACTTCTCATTTGCTGCTGCTGCTGCTGCTGCTGTTGCTGCTGCAGCATTCAGCCGTTTATTTGGCGGGGCCCCTTCTTACCATTCGGACACTTCGCTGCACACGCCGGAGCAGCAAACATTGCTGGCAGCAGAGCTGAGCGGCGCTCACGTTGCTGCTTCAGCAGCAGCAGCAGCAGCAGCAGCTTGTGACGGGGGCAGCAGCAGCCTGCAGCAGCAGCAG